AGAAGTTCGCATGTCAAACCCAAACCCTACTGAAATCAATGGGAGTCAAATCTGTCAAATTAGAAATGTTCATTTTTTGGGCTGATAGGCAAGGTACTGTATGTCAAAAGGGAGTGTGCACTGTCCTTGGGAACATGTACTAATACAAAAATATATTTTTTAAAATCTGTTCATCCAGGAGCAGTGTTTTTTTATTTTTTAAAGTGGAACATTAAATATACCAATTCCTTTAAATACCATGCTGTAAAACAAGATGGGTGAGTTTTCCCAGGAAATCCATGCCTTCTGGTCTAATATGGATTTTAAGAGGACCTTACACAATAAAATGCATGGACCCCCTCTAAAAATCTATACCAGACCCTTAATCTGAGCATGCAGCCTGTCTGGCCAAAAAGGGGGGGGCAAGTGTGCGCCCCCCACAGAACCATACTAGGCTACAAGCCCTCAACATGGGGGAGTACCTTCCCAGGGGGGACTCATGTTAATGAGGAGAAGGACCTTGTGGAGGTCTGTGGACCAAGGGCTTATTGGAATCTGGAAGCTTCTGTTAAAAATAAGGGGTACCCCTCATGTGAATGAGTATTAGGTACATAGTACAAACTATGCCCATCCCATTCCAGTTCCCTCCTCTATTCATAGAAGCTGTACTATAGCTTCCGTCAATGAAAATTGTTCTATGACTGGAGGAGGCAGACCTCATCCGGTTGTCCTCCACTCATAAACCCAACCATGTTTTTTATATTTAGGGAATAATTAAAGCCCGTAAGGTTTTTTTGCCATCTATATGCCATTGGGCAGATTTCTCTTAAATTCCTGCCCTGTGGATACAACAGGAAATGAGAGTAAATCTCAAAACTGTGAATCGTCTCTCACTTTTAATCCCAGTGACAATGGTCACCAAGACAAATAGAACACTTAAAGTTCCCAAGCAGGCAGTCAGACAGCAATAAAAACGTATCAGAGGATCTAACACTTCCCAACTTTATCCCCCCCAAAAAATACAGGATTTAAATACATGTTAAGTTTTTGAACAGAAATATAAAGCAGGATAATCTGTTTTGTCAGCTATAGGTAACACATCTCAAATATGGCTGATGTCCCAAAAACCAAAGTTCCCCATTGACAGTAACTCCTTTCTATTGACTATTTGCATGGAGAACATCCTGGAGTGTCTTTGTGTATGCATATAATGAGACAGGCAAATCTTTTCATAACTCAGCGTTCTATAGTTTTGGTACAGAGTGAAACTTATCCAGCTGAGAGCAGATATAATACTTGTTTATAGCTCGCTCGCACCAACTTACTCAAAGCTCCTTGTTTCTATTTGGTGTATCATAATGGGGTATGATGAATGTAAGGGTATTTGATGAAGCATCCCATGTGAGATGCAGAAATAGGAACAGTATGAAAGCCATATTGTGGGGGGTGGAGACTTGTATTATGAAGACCTGCAGGTCTCTGCAAACCTTCGAGGAGATCTGTAAAACATTTCACAATTCATGCAGGGTTCATAGAAACAATTGTGTTAGATTGTTGCTGAACCAATGTAAACATGAGCCAAACAATGGGGGTTGTTGCTGATAAAACATACTATTATATTGTATGCCTAGAATGCCGAGAAGAAGGTACCTTGCTGGTGGGCCAAGCCGCTACACAGCAATGAGGACACCAACTGCTTCTATCTGTGAGCGAGTTGTGGTGTATTCAGAATTAGCTGCTATATCCCTCACTGCTGGCCATGAAACAAAGGAGACTGGAGTTACATCTAACTGTGCTGGCTTCAAGCGCAACGTCCAAGATTTGAATGCGGGTGGATTTTGTTTGATAATAAAAGTGGTGATTTTCTAGCACTTGGTGTGCTGCACTGTTCTCATATCATTCCTGCCTCAAAGTCCATGTGTGTGGAGGATCTGCCTTTTTTACAGGGTCTCATCACACGGGTGTGCTTAATTGCATTGAGCAGGGGATCCGTGAGCAGATCCACTTCTGAATTTGAGCTGAATTATGTCTCTTTTTTTACAAGCTGAACTAAGATATCACGTAAGGTATCATCATATCACGACTCGACTACTGCAACTCCCTCCTCACTGGCCTGCCTCGCCGCTGGCTATCCCCGCTTCAGTCGATCCTGAATACGGCTGCCAGACTCATTCACCTTTCCAACCGCTCCATTTCCACCACCCCCCTCTGCCAATCCCTCCACTGGCTTCCGATTGCTCAACGGATCAAATTCAAAATCCTAACATTGACATACAAAGCCGTCCACCATACTGCCCCGAACTACATCACCGACCTAATATCCAAGTACCACCCAACACGCACACTCCGCTCCTCACAAGACCTCCTTCTCTCTAGTTCCCTGGTCTCCTCCTCCCATGCCCTCCTCCAGGACTTCTCCAGGGTGTCACCCATCCTCTGGAACTCCCTGCCCCAACCCATCAGATTATCACCTACTCTCCTCTCCTTTATGCGTAACCCTGAAAACCCACCTCTTCAGGGAAGCCTACCCCACCCCCTGCTAACTTGTCGACCTCCTCCACTCTTCCTACCACTCCATCCCCCACAGCTATCTCCTCCTGTGCCACCATCCCCTCCCGCCTAGATTGTAAGCTCCAAAGAGCAGGGCCCTCGATCCCCTCATGTTTTGCATTGTATTGTTGTTCTGTCACATGTTCTGTCCCCCTTTGTAATGTACAGTGCTGAGCAAACTATTGGTGCTTTATAAATACTGTATAATAATAATAATAATAATAAAGGTAACCTTGTAAAAATTAAAATTTTTGGCATGGTTGTTAGTGCCAGACTGGCTGGTCTGAGTATTTCAAAAACTGATCTACTGGGATTTTCATGCACAACCATCTTTAGGGTTTACAGAGAATGGTCCAAAAAAGAGAAAATATCCAGCGAGTGACAGTTGTGTGGATGAAAATGCCTTGTTGATGTCAGAGATCAGAGGAGAATGGACAGACTGGTTGCTGTGACATTCAGATAGTAGGATCAGAATTTGGTGTTAAAAACATGAATGCATGAATCCATCCTGCCTTGTATCATTGGTTCAGGCTGGTAGTGTAATGGTGTGGGGGGATATTTTCTTGGTACTAGCAAGGTGTACTTAATAAAGTGGCCAGTGAGTGTGATTACAGTCTTGATACCATGTGGTATCAAAGTAATTCTTCTATAGCCTCATTATTATGGTTATATTGGCCTCTAGAATTTTACACTTTTTGGATTTCCTTGTTAAATGCAGTCATGGTGCCTACTAGTCTGTACCTGTATGTGATCCACCATTTATGTACACTGCATTTGTAAATGGAAGTGTGTACTATTTTGCAAATTACTGTTCCTGTATGCACCTTTTTTATTTGTTTCAATAACATTATCTTGATTTAAAAATGACAACATAATGCTCAAACTAATATAAAGCTGTACATACATACCCCAAGACAAAGTTCATTGCATATTTAAACATTCCATCACTAACTACAAAAAATCACTAAACCCCAAAATTTTATTGCAAATCTTCCAACACGAATACAAATGAAAAAACAAAACAAAAAAAAAATAAAAACAAATCAAACCAAGGGTTTGGGTATCAGACAGTATCATTTGGTATATTTATCCAGTTTTACTGATATACTAAAGATCAGGAACTGAATGATAAAAGGGAATAAAGGGGGAGTTGGGTGGGGATTTAATGCAACTTGTAAAGTTGCTCTACTTTTCCAATATTACGTTGCAAGGTTTTGTTACTATTTGTTACTTTGAATCTCAGTCATATAAAGTGGAATTCCCAGTTCTGAAATGACTTTTGATACACAGGACCGTCGTTCTGCCTTTTCCCATTTGTATGTTTTCTTGTTATTCTCTTCACGCAGAACACGAAGCTTTATATGATCATCCACTGTAATTTCCAATTAACCATCTCTCATGAGATACTCTTCCAGTTCTTAGTACAGCACCGCTCATAGATCTTCTCCTTCCTGTGAGCCAACCTCTTTTAACTCTTTGTCTTGCAGGTCACAAGAGCTGAAAAATGCCGATGGACAAAAATGTGTCGGCGCTCTCCAACTTCTCCATTGCCTCCTCGCTAATGAGACAGGATGGGAATAAGAGCATAGAAATTGCACCGCAGCAGGTGGTGGTTGGGTTATTACTGACGGTGATCGATTTGGTCACCTTCCTGGGGAATACTGTGGTTTTTATCTGCCCCGCAGTGGAGAAGAGACTGAGAACTGTAACATATATGTTCATTATGTCGCTTGCGATGGCTGACCTTCTGGTGGCTTGTCTGGTGATGCCTTTTAGGTAAGGATATCTTTATTATTCTGTCTGCTTTTCTAGTTTATGTAATAAAAAGAGACTTATGAGTCTTTTGCATTTTTCAAAAGCACAGAAAAATTCAAAGTGAATGTTCAAAGTTCAGGAATCAAAATATAATTTCTGTATTTCTTTAAAAAGTCATTAATAAAGATTATGTGAACATTTTATATTTACCCCTGCAGGCAGCTCTAAGCAAGATCCGCAGGTGTCCCAAGGCTCTTAAAGCAAATGTGAACCTGAAATGTGAAATATCAAAAACACAGAAATAAGGCAATCTTCAACATTAAAAAGATTTGCTTTGTTTTTTATTTTTTTTTTTTTGGGGGGGGGTACTTTAGAACTCACATGACTGCATTCTGAGCTGTTTTGTGTGCTGACTATGGTGAGTGTGTTCCCTTTGATGATGTCACTCTCTCATCCCCAAGTCTACCCCCTCCTCCTATTAGCAGAATAGGTTTGCAGGCAAGGCAGCCACAGCGGAGTAGAGTGACAACAAAACCACAGCATTGTAAGGCAGTAAGTACAGGGGTGTTGTTCCTTAACCTCCCTGGCAGTATTCCCGAGTGTAGCTCGGGGTAAACTTTCAGCACCACAAGCGGTAACCCTGATCTACACTTGGGAATACACTGCAGCGTTGCTCCGGGATCTGTTCTTCACTTACCTTGTCCTGCGCTCCTGCGATGTCCCCCCTGCAGTGTCCCCGGCACTGTCCTCCAGCTGATGCCGGCATCTGTCTTCCGGGTTCCGTTCCCTGCGACGTCAGGACATACAGGGACAGAACTGGTGGGAAATTTGAAAATTTTAAATGTGACATTCACTAAATACACTAAAATCACATAGTAAAACATTACTGTATCAAACCATTTCACATACATTTTGTCCCTAGTGCTTTGTCCTGTGCCCTGCCTGCATTTTTACTGTTCTTTCTGCCTGGAAACTGAGAAACGTCCATGGCGTCCAAAAAGTGTCCCTTTTAGGTCAAAAGCGGTTTTAGATCAGCTAGAGAACAGCGATAGTAAATCAGAACCACTTGCAGAATTGAGTGATAATGATTCGTGGGGAAATTCGTCATCAGACACTGAAAACGATTTTGAGACTTTGCTCAGTGATATGCGAACTTGGCGCTTTATTTCAAATTTCAGTGTTTTTGGTTTGTTTACATTATTGAATTAAATTTATTATTTTATTATTATTTTGTATGATTATTTATTAAATTATGATTTCGTGTTTCAAATTTTATCATACCCGGAATGTTTACTAGACTCTTGTTCGGACAGATTTCAGTGAGTTATTCCTAAAAATTACAGGCCTAAAATAAAAAAAGGACATATTACCATGTAAAAAAAATGTACCGCTTTGAGCACAAAAATATGGACATAATCAGACCGCTAGGGAGGTTACAAAAAAAGTGCAAGAGCTGAAAGGATAATAATTTTTTAGCAAAAGAAAAACTGTAAATCAAATAGCGGTAAAAGTTAAAACCTACATATATGGCAATAAACTAAAACTTTGTTTTTTGGTGTACTTGCACTTTAAGGGTTGTTACTCTGAAGCAAACTTGAATATCATGAGATCAGATTCTACAAATTGCTGAATGACTTAGAGAAGAGACGAACTGCTCATCCCTAATGACTCAAAGGAAGATATCCTCCCCTCAAATGACTTGAAGGATATGAACACCGTTTCCTTCCAAACGACTCACCCTTTGCCCCAAATGACTTAGAGAAGGGGCATACTTCTCCCTTCCCAAAAACCTGGAAGAGGGCACACCCTTCCCTTCTGAATGACTTAGAGAAGGGTCACATCATTAATTTGCAAATTATCTATCTAAAGATGTGGTGGCTGCATTAGTGTTCTTTTTTTCCCTAATTTATTTTCACCTGGTGATAATGCCAGTAAATCTGTTATTTCTAACTTCCTTTAACAGATCAAGCTGTCCAGCAAAAGTGACAGAGGTTTGGGACAAACCAATTAACACTGAATAGGGTGCTTGCAATGATCATTTTTTATTCATTTATCTAACACCTTTATCCCAAAAGGAAAACAAAACTGTAACTGCCTAAAAAGTATTAGCTGAAGTTCAGCTTTAATTCGTTAGTCAAGTCCATCTACCGTAAATCTGCTAATGCATTAACACTACCCTCTCCCCAGATTAAAACAGAGCTCCACCCAAAAAGGGAAGTTCCCGCTTTAAGTCTGTGTTAAGGATTGGCACCTTTGGGGAGCGGGTACCCGAGACAGGTCCCAGAAGACTACGGGGTCATTCACAAAGCGCAGGGCTTCTGTGCATGTGCAGTGGGCACCCGGCTGTGAAGCCACACCCGGCTGTGAAGATCCCGGCACCAAAGAGAGAAGACGGCCGATGAAACCAGCAGTGGTGAAGACATTGCTGGACCGAAGGACAGGGAAATGACTGTATTTTAAAAGTCAGCAGGTACAGTTTTTGTAGCTGCTGACTTTTATTTTATTTAGGTGGAACTCCGCTTTAACAATGCTGCTGCCCAAAAATGTCTCCCAAGACTCCACCATCCAGAGAGCACACAACTTAAGGGCTGGTTCACACTATAGAATGCCATATTTCTGTTTTTTTTTTGCAGGAACTTATATATTGCTATCAATTTATGCAGCACTTTACATATGGTATATATTGTACATTCACAATAGTCCCTGCCCTAAAGTTTACAAGAGATCCCTAACTCACATTCATACATACACATACTAGGACCAATTTTAGTCAGGAGCCAATTACCCTACTATCATGTCTTTGGAGTGTGGGAGGAAACTGAAATACCCGGAGGAAACCCACGCAGGCACAGGGAGAATATGCAAACTCCAGGCAGGTAGTGCTGTGGTTGGGATTCGAACCAACAACCCCTAGTGCTGCTAAGCAGAAGTGGTAACCATTTAGCCACTGTGCTGCCCATGTACTGTGCTTTCCGACACCATACAGAAAATGTGCTGCCCTTGCTAGACCTGCACAGGTGTCACTAATTTGTAATTGCACCACAAATGCATCTAGCAAATGTGGTGCATTTGCAGCCACCAAACCGCATAGTACCATGTCCTTTTGGTGTGACACAATCTTGAAAGTAGCACTTCACTACCTTTTGCTCGTTCCTGTGCATTTAGCAGCCCATTGAAGCCAATCAGCTGTCAACACCAGGACACACAAAAGCACACGCATGTTCTAGCATGAACCAACCATAAGATAGAAAGTATGTTACTGCCTGGATTACCAGATGAAAATAGAGGAGTAGAAAATATAAATAAAAGAAAACAAATGCAGCCGCCACATCTAAGCCGCCAGCTACAATATGTTACATATTTGTTTTTGGGTTTAATAGCAGCTTAACCTTCCTAGCGGTCTGATTATGTCAGTATTTCTGTGCTCAAAGCGGTACATTTTTTTTTTGCATGGAAATATGTTGTTTTTTTATTATAGGCCTGTAATTTTTAGCAATAACTCACTGAAATCTGTCAGAACAAGAGTCTAGTAAACATCCCGGGTATGATAAAATTTTAAACACGAAATAATAAATTATAATTTAATAAATAATCATAAAAAAAATAATAATATAATAGATTTAATTCAATAATATAATCAAACCAAAAACACTGAAGTTTGAAATATAGCGCCAAGTTCGCACATCACTGAGCAAAGTCGCAGAATCGTTTTCAGTGTCTGATGACGAATTTCCCCACGAATCATTATCACTCAATTCTGCAAGTGGTTCTGATTTACTATCGCTGTTCTCTAGCCGGTCTAAAAACCGCTTTTGACCTAAAGGGACGCTTTTTGGACGCCATGGACGTTTCTCAGTTTCCAGGCAGAAAGAACAGTAAAAATGCAGGCAGGGTACAGGACAAAGCACTCGGGACAAAATGTATGTGAAATGGTTTGGTACAGTAATGTTTTACTATGTGATTTTAGTGTATTTAGTGAATGTCACATTTAAAATTTTCAAATTTTCCGTCAGTTCCGTCCCCGTACGTCCTGACGTCGCAGGGAACGGAACCCGGAAGACAGATGCTGGCATCAGCTGGAGGACATTGCCGGGGACGCTGCAAGAGGGACATCGCGTGAGCGCAGGACAAGGTAAGTGATCGAGGGATCCCGGAGCAGCGCTGCAGTGTATTCCTGAGTGTAGCTCGGGGTTGCCACTTGTGGTGCTGAAACTTTACCCCGAGCTACACTCGGGAATACCGCCAGGGAGGTTAAGGAAAAAGAAAAGGGAAAAGGGGTCCAATAAGAGGAAAAACAAAATATAGGATTCATTGAAGAAGATATTGAATCCAGGGGGCCCAAATTTTCCCAAACTCTGGTAATTTGTTATGTAAAATACGTAATTTTTTAATGAATCATAATTCATGATTGTTTTGTTTTAGGTATTTGTTAGATAAGTGATTGCCTTTCGTTCTAAAGCTGTGCTCCTATAACCTCTTGGAAATCGAGTCTTGGACTGAAAGGGAGCCTTCCGTGATTTGAATACAGCGTAGAGAAGACACACAGCCGCACTCCGGTGACGTCACATAATACAACAACTTTTTTCCACAAAGCCAAAAGGACAGTCCCTGTCTGTATTTCACCCACTCTGACTCATTTCCCCCAAATGGGCTTCGTCAACTCACACAGTGCGGCTGTGTGTCTTCTCAATGTTAAATTAATTGATGGTGATTTCCAGCATCTGGTGACTATTTTTTTAGCTGCTAAGAAAGTGTAGAATATGAGACATTTAGAGTGTTTAGGGAATCCTTTTATTGGTCACTTTCATTTAGAAGAAACTAAGTATCATCTGGAGATGACTATAAAATTTGCTTCTGAAATGCAAAAAAAGCTTCTAAAAACCAAGCTTTTCAAGATTTTTGACTACTGGGTACAGAAGACCGAGGTTGCTAGGGGTTCCTTGAGCAATGAGCAATTTCTGTATGCGGAAAGTAGTACAAGTGCCTAAGTATATATATAGATAACAAGCTGCAATGCACAAAAAAAGGTACCAATATCACCCTAAAATCAACAATATATATAAGAAACAAATATATATATATTGGAATGGAGGTTAATCCCAAACAAATGTATACAAAGCAAAAGAATAGTCCTGGAAATTAGTATGAATAATTAAAGTGCTCAGGTGACATGAGAGTCCGGTATCCGTGTGATAAAGTAATGCGCACTCACCGGACGCGCATATTTAATGCGCTTTTGTATATAAAAGACTCAGATGTCATCTGATGGTGGATGGTCCTCCTCCTATTTGGTATGGGGCTGGTAGTCCACTTCTACTAGGGATCCCCCTGTGTGCTCCTGGTAGGTGTTATCCCTCTAGGTGAGCTGGGTTCCACTGTGAAGTAGCAATCCGTCCCGGGAACGTATCTGTGAACTAAAGCACTCCCCCAGGGGATGACAAGGACACTTCCCACTGGCCGCCAAGCTACTGTGTACTCAGTAATTTGTTTCTAAGCAAGCAACTTGAACTGTCTCTAAATACACTTTCCTGAAGAATGTTGATCTAATGATTTATCTGATTGGGGAAATCAGAAAGTAATTTGAGTCCTTCCTGAAGAAAACAAGGCCACAGCTACTTTGTTTGCCTTTTTTCTCTATTAAGTAGAGTTTATATGCTTCTAAGGATGCAAGGTGCTTCTTTGATTTTTTTGATTAATCTTGAAGGACATGTTGTCTTTTCAGTTTGTATATGTGGGTATTCGTGACATAACTGAACAGTCAAATCTCAAACAAACACCAAACAATACTGGGCTTCATTAAGTATACAATTAAGTATACAAATATAGATACTTTTTTAATATAAGGATAAAAACCATTCACAAGCATAAAACTGTAAGTAAGATATCCATCCCATATCAGGGGCGGACTGACAACTCATGGGCCCCCGGGCAATAGGGATCATGGGGGCCCCTGTGTTTCTTGTCGAAACTCAAAAAAGCCTATGAAAAAGGTACCAGGGGCATCTCAAGGGGCCCCCTACTGACCTCGGGCAGTACCCAAGTTTCCAAATGGTCAGTCCGCCCCTGATCCATATCATT